CCTGGGTTACAGGTATGCTTGTCCCTCGGCAGGAGGAGTCATGTGACCAGAGGGCCCTGCCACATTCTTCTCTGTGGGACATCCCTCAGCCAAGGTCACAGTTGTCTGGAGTGCCTGAACTTTGCTCTGAAACTTGGAGATGTCAGGGTTGTGGGTGTGCCCTCACACCTGAGTCCACCCTGTCCCTCCCCAGCACTGCCCTGTAGGTGGCTGGGTGACAGCCGCCCTGGCTCCTGCCAAACCTCAATGGCCGCCTTTCACAGGACCGGGTGGGCGACAGGGCATGCACAGACAATGGCCTGTGTTGTCCAGGGCCAGGCCACCACCTCCCTCCAACAGACAGGGCTTCCTGCCTGGGTCCCTCCAGGAGTTAACCCCTTCCCCTCCACGGGATGCCTGGTTGTGCCAGGCAGGGACATCCCAATACTGCTGCCTTCCTGACCTTTGTCCTAATGTCACTGTGCCGTCAGGGAGGGAGAGGGGTGAGGCTCTCTTGGTGGCGGAGCTCCACCTGGCCTCAGTTGCTCCTTGTGCCGTAAAGGCAGTGTGCTCAGCACGGTGGCATCCAGGGGAGTCGTTAAATCACGGCGTGTGTCTTCTGTGTGAGTGTAGGCTTGTCCCATGTGTAGGCCTCAATGTTTGGATCTGTCCATGCGATGGGCTCCACAGGAGGGGCCACTGGCAAGGTCAGCCAGCCTGCCCACAAGTAAGTACCAGGGTCCCATGTCTCAGCCACTCCGAGTTCAGTGGGCCGGTCTGGTGGCCTTGCTGGACCGCGGGGACCATCTTGTCTCCCTTAGCTTCACCTCAGTCCTGACCCTTTGGAAGATGAGAGGACTGAGGCCCAGAGATGGGTGGCAGCGAGGGGCCCCTGCCACCCTGTCTATGCGACCAGCTGGTGAGGTCCTGTTTCGGGGCTTCCTGTTGGCTGTTGTGCGACTCTGTGAACGGTATCTCCGGGGGACCGATTACTTACGTACAAGATGGGGCATAGCTCAGAACCCCAGTGCCTAGAGTCGCGGGCTGGACCTGGCTGCACAGCGCCCCTCCCCACAAGGCTGTGCTCTGTTGGCTCTTGAGCGGACAAAGAAGCAACCCCAGGAAGGAATGTGACACTCACATTGAATGTTCCTGTGAGCGACCGGAACACCAAGGGCATCTTCAAGCCAGAGCGTTGCATCCTGGGGACACATGACGTGGAGCCCTAAAGAAGCCAGTCCCTGAGAGGTGTCACTTTGTCCTGAAGGAGGACCCTGCCTGACCCCCACCTCAGGTCAGGAAGCCCAACTGGACCAGCGCAGAGGGCTGTGGAAGCCTTCCTGGTGTGGCCAGTCAGTGAGGAAAGGCTTCCCCAGGAGACACAGCGGGGGAGAATGGGAGCCAAGACAGGAAGTAGCATTGAGGGGTGAGTGGGATGGTGGTCACCTGCTGCCAGGTCCCCAGGTTCCTAAAATGGGAAACAAGGCTCCCAGGGCGCAGGCAGAGTGGGGGGCCAACATGCCAAGGAGGCGCCGCAGGTACATGAATGAAGCTCAGGAGGCTCACGAGCCGTGATCTCAGCCCCTGCCATCCACGGGGCCCCTCTGTCCCCCTTGGAGTTGGAGTGTCCCTGTGAGGGGCAGCAGGCTGGCAGTTCAGAATCCGAACCTGCCTACCCAGAAGCCTGCATACCCTTGGCCTCTCTTACAGGAGCCAGAGTAGGGTTGACCCAGTCTGGGGTAAGGTCACGCACGGAGCCTCAGTTTCTCTGGTAGCCTCTGAGGCACCTAGCTCTGTGCCCAACCTTGCATTGGTAATACCCCAGTGGGAGAGGCCAGATGATGTGATGCCTCTCCCACTCAGGAGGGCCCCACAGCAGTCCCGAGGATGGAACATCCACCGGGCTCACACCTTAGCCAGCTTCCTGTCCCACTCACGGCAAGCCCACGTGCTCATTGCCCTGAATTAAAAACAAACGCACAGTTTACATATATACCACACAATTTACATGCGCTTTGCATATTGTTTGACGCGCACTTCTTGGAGCTTGCAGGTTATGAAACTCTGAGCGTGCAGAAGATGCACGGTGCCCTCCCCCGCCCCCGCAGCGCAGCTCTCCCGAGTACTGAGCAGAGATGCGCGGTGCCATGCGCCCCAGGGCCCGGCCTCTCTCCCCTCTGCCTCACTGCCCATCCTGTGGGTGGCAAGGCCATCTACTTGGCATGCAGGATACCACGGTTGTTTAAATGTCCCACAAGACTGAGAGACACCGGGTTCTTTCCGGTTTGTGAGGATCAAGAGTGAAGCCCCCAAACTGGACAGCGGTGGCGCACGCCTTTAATCCCAGCACTTGGGAGGCAGAGGCAGGCGGATCTCTTAGTTCAAGGCCAGCTGGGTCTACAGGGCAAGGTCCAGGACAGCCAGGGCTGTTACATAGAGAAACCCTGTCTTGAAAAACAAAACACAAAACCACAAAAGAGTGAAGTCCCCAGGTAAGGTGTGGTACACGTGGTACACACTTGTCACCCCAGCACTCCAGAGGCCGAGGCAGGAGGATTATGAGTTCAAGGCTAGCTTGGGCTACATAGTAAGACACTCTCCCGCCACTCCCCCCCCCCCCGCCACTCTCCGCAACTCAAAAATGCAAAGAAACCTCCAGCCTGATTGCCGACTGGCCATGCCCTGTGTGGCCACGGCCCTGCAGAAGATCCCACAGTCTTGGGTTGTCGCCCCGAGGGAGGTCAATCTGTAATGGTGACTTCCTCAGTGTGATACTGAGCCCCTCTGTGTGTATGTGTCCTGCGCCTTCCTCAGAAACAGTCCCTGTGGAATATGGCTCTCGTCCCTCCACTCTGTAGTTTGTCCCAGCCCTGCAAACCATAGGTGTCTAATCAACGCTGACTGAACTTCCCAGCCTCGGCCTCAGGGTCAGCTTGTTCTTTCAGGGAGAGTGGTCACTCTTGGTCCTACCCGGTCTCAAGTGTGCCCAGAAGGGTAGCCTGGCTGGGCTGCTGATCAAGGACGCTGGGTGGGGTGGGTAGGGGCCATCCAGCCAGGCCGGTGGGGCTGGGCAAAGATTCACCACCTTTCAGCCCTTAGCTGGTCAGATTCCCATGGTACCAAGAAGGAAGCAGAGCTCTGAGAAAGGTCTGGACTCTTGCAGGGCCAGGCCAGGGATGCTGTTAGCATCATTCAGAAAACATCCCTTGTATTGATTGCCATCGTGGGGCCTGAAATATAGGCATGGTGGCAGCTTGTTGGAAAAGCTGGCCGGGCCCACAGGATATCCTTTGGACATGGACCTGGCCCGCAGGACCCACTGCTTCGGGGCACTAAGCCTGATGCTCTGTGGGAGCCTCAAAGGGTCAGCCGGGATCAGTCTAGCCCAGCACCGGGAAACGGTGCCTCCCTATGTGCTCCTGCCACCTGCTGGCAACGATGGGAACAGCAGGCTAGAGGCTTGTTCCTGCTGGCTCCTGGGTACTAGCTATAAAACATGGCTGGAAGGTTCTGGAGGTAGTGGGGGTGGGGAGCTGCTGCATCCAGTCTTATCACCCCTCGACACCCCACTTCTGAAGTACATGCTCAGCTATTCAAGCCTAGAGAATCTGGGCCCTAAAGATGAAGGAAGGCCAAGCTGACTTCTTATCCATCTAGGCTAGGTATTCAAGGAGTCAGTCAACAAACATTCTCAGTGGGTCCTGCCTGGCCTAATGGCAAGTGTTGGCGGCCCGGTATCCAAGCACAGAAAGACTCTTCCCTGTACTCTTCCTGCCTGCTGAAGCTAACACAAGGAAGAGGTGCAAGGCACATCGGCCACTCCACGGCTTCAGAGAGGCCCCGTCTCCCCAGAAGCTGGGGGAGGGAGCAGGCCCCTTCTGGCACGCCCTGAGACTGACAGTCCCCCGGGCGCCAGCTGCCCCTTCCCTGACGCCAGGCTGCTGCCTTTTTATGGCCACATGTCTCTGGGAGCACAGAAAATAGCCTCTTGTGCTTGGTGACAGGGACAGGGCTGCCCTGCCGGCTGCAGGCAGAGGAGGAGACGCTGGGGGAGGGCGTCGGATGGCCAAGACGGAGCTAGGCTGGCAGTCAGGGTCTGGCTGGCTGGAGGTGGTGTTACAGGAGCTGCATGCACACCCACCCTCAAGCACACTGCTGACGGACAAGGTTTTCCGGGACCTTCTTTGCCAGAGAAAGCCACTCTGACACCCAGCAAAGAGGGGAACAGCACAGCTCATGGCCCTGGACTCTGCCCACCCGGGGGACATGGCCACCGGCTGCGTGTCCACCTGCAGGGAGGCTCGCAACAGCCAGAAGTTTCAAGCAATGCCGGCATCCCCCAGCAGCTCACCAGCGAATGCCAACCCAGCACCTGGAGGGTCCCATGAAGTGGGGGGTGGGGTGGGGAGAGGCAGGACAGCGAGCCCATGATGTCATCTCCTTGTAGATGGATGGGACCGGCCTGCACAGACAAGCTGGGCCGCATGGAGGGAACTGAGGGCACCAGGAAGGCCGGATCTTCTGAGGGTGCCTGTTTTTGCCAACAGTGAAGCAGCTTCTAATTGCCCTGGGGCAGAACCGTACCAGGGTCCCCAGAGCGAGCCAACCCCAGCATTTGTGAAACTAGAGCTCGGGGAGGGTCCTTCGGACTCCTGGCTTCATGGGGCCGGTGACTCAGTCCGTTTCTGTCCCTTCTCATGCCCCAGTACCTCTTTCTTTCTGTGGCATTAGACCCGCCTGGAAGCCCTGGGCCATCTCAAACCCAATGTTCCCAACTTTGTCCCTAAGACCTGCTTCTTAGGTGGCTTGTCCAGATGGGAGGGTCTGAGTGGGCAAAGGTGGCCTGGGCCCCAGAGCCTGTGGTCTAGCTGGAACGTCAGGGTGTCTCTGGGCAGTGGGTCTCAGGCCATTGGCAGGGCAGACAGGCAGCCTCATCTGTGTCCACCTCACAGAGGAGGGTCCCTAGGACAGGGACAGAGTCGTCTAGGTGGAGGCTCCTTAACTCTTCCTCTCTTCCCCAGGATACCGTGAGGGCCTTCTCTGGAAGCGTGGCCGGGACAACGGACAGTTCTTAAGCCGGAAGTTCGTGCTGACGGAACGAGAGGGTGCCCTGAAATACTTCAACAAAAACGACGTGAGCCTGGCATGGAGCAAAGGGTGACCTTCCCACGTGGGGTCCTGGCCTCCCCTGGGTCTGCAGGGCCGTATATTAGCTCTTCAGGGGCGTGGCTGCCTTCCATCAGTCTTCCCAGGGGACACCCCTCATGATGGCTCCCCCTGGGGAAATGCCATATGTGTATGCACCCACACACTAACCCCCCAATCCCAGTCCAGGAATGACCCCTGTCCCCTCCTGGAGCCTCCAGGAGCCAGGCCTGGTGTGGGCCTGCTGAGAACGGTTCTGGGAAGCCAGAGGCTCCCCCTAGTGGATGCTTCCAGAAACAGTCAGTGATAGTGCCTTGGGTCAGCTGCGAGGGGTACCTGCCCCGCGGTGAAGTTCTTGCTCTAGGTCACCGTTGCAGGGAGGGGCCCAGGTGGATGGCTGCAGCCTTGCCGTGGGGCTGGCTAGATAGAGGGATGGAAGGTGAGGTGTGGCAGCCTGAGAGGTGGTGCTGTTATCCAAGATGGCAGCCTCCTCACCTGCCTTGTCTGTCAGGTACTGACTGGCTCAGAGAGATTTAGCACCCTCCCTGGGGGCACACAGTCAAGTACATAGTGGCCCTTTCTCTGGGACCCTTGGCACCAAGAAGGGGCCACCTTTGGGGGTGGAGGACACCAGCACACATACCTGGAAAAGTGCCCCGACTTAAGGTCTGGCCGAGGGCTAGGGAGGGATGGGGTTAGTCACACAACTCCATGGAGCCAGGCAGGACCACAGAAAGAGCCTCCTTGCCTGCACCTGACCTGGACGAACTAGTCTGGGAACAGTAAACAAGCACCAGGACCCTGGGGTCTTGGTGAACAGTCCCAGATCACAAGCTCCAGATGCACAGGCAAGCAAGAATTGGGTCAGGGTAGGACGGAGAACAAGAAGGGTCACAGACTAGGGGGAGGGTTACCCAGATTCCAAGTGTCCCCCACAGATGTCATTTAGTCCCCCATCTCCCAAGGAAGTCGACATGGATGTCCCATTCACAGGCTAGGAATCTGGGGGGTCAGAAAGGCTAAGGAACTTGCCTAAGGCTGCACAGCACAGCATGGGTACTGCCAGTCTCTCTTGTTTAGACAGTGGCTGTTGTCTGGGGTTCCCACCAGCCTTCCTTCACAGGCCAAGGAGCCCAAGGCTGTCATGAAGATTGAGCACCTGAACGCTACCTTCCAGCCGGGCAAGATCGGCCACCCCCACGGCCTGCAGGTCACCTACCTGAAGGACAACAGCACTCGCAACATCTTTATCTACCATGAAGATGGCAAGGTAGGCGCCACTAGGTGGCGGGGGTGGTGGTGGTGGGGGAGGTGGGGCAGTGCACCCCCTGGGGGTGGGGCACTAATCCAGCCTTGCCCTCCATGCTGCAGCCAAAAAAAAAAAAAAAAAAAAGGATACCACAGGCAAACCGTTATCTACGGCGGGACTGCCAGGCAGAGGGGCCCTGCATCTTGTGGCTAGAGCTCTTGATGTGTGCTTTATCAAAGCGTGTGTGTGTGTGTGTGTGTGTGTGTGTGTGTGTGTGTGTGTGTCTGCAGAGTTGAGTGTCTCCTCAAGACTAAGAAGCTGAAGTTTGGAGTTTGCACCAATCCCTCAGGAAGTTACCATGTCTCTAAACATGCTGTCTGATTTGGTGACCTCTGGGACAGTAAAGGTCTCCCCTACTCTTTTGTTTTGTTTTGTTTGTTTGGTTTGGTTTTTCGAGACAGGGTTTCTCTGTGTAGCTTTGCGCCTTTCCTGGAACTCACTTTGCAGACCAGGCTGGCCTCGAACTCACAGAGATCCGCCTGGCTCTGCCTCCCGAGTGCTGGGATTAAAGGCGTGTGCACCACCACCACCACCACCACCACCACCACCACCACCACCACCACCACCACCACCACCACCACCACCACCCCCCAGCGGTCTCCCCTACTCTTGCTCCCTTGTGCCGTCATCCCTGTGAGGTTTTTACTCCTGCCATGTCCAAGGTCTGTGTCCTGTGACTACCTAAACACACTGGTGTAGTCCGAGCGCCTCCATCTAGATCACCGTCTCATTTACCTGTGACAAACAGCCACGTCTGCCTGTAGTGGCCTGTGTCCACCCAAGCTCCAGGGCTGTCTGGACATCAAGGGACATGGGTGGACTGCTTGGGGGCCTCACCTCCTCCTTCCCTGTCTTGGTCCAGTCTGGGCTGCTTTATACCGTTTTGGCTGGAGCACACTGCGGTGGCTTTCTCAGACGCTGTGTCTAGGAGGCGAGTGGTCTGAGAGCCTCTCTCTGGAAGTTTACCTTTTGCTCACTGCACTTTGGCTAGAAAGAGAATTCAGTTAGGATGTTCCCAGCACTGAGCCTCTGTTTTCTCGTTCAGTCCATGTCCACAAGGCTGGTGGGTTTTTTTTTTTCATATTTATTTATTTATTTATTTATTTATTTATTTATTTATTTATTCATTCATTCATTCATTCATTCATTTATTTTTCTATTATCAGCTTGATGCAGTATAAATTCTTATCCTAAAAGTGAAATGTTTCACTATAGTTTGCCCAGTGATTGAGTAAAACCAAAACTTACTATAAGCCACAGTCACCCTAGGGTCCCCCTGCTATGTAGTCTCCCTGGTTCTGTGGGTTGCAGTCTGATTGTTCTTTGCTTTATATCTAGTGTCCACCTATGAGTGAGTACATACCATGTCTGTCCTTCTGGGTTTGGGTTACCTCACTCAGGGTGATACTTTCTAGTTCCATCCATTTGCCTGGTGGGTTTTTCTTTAAAGATTTCTTCCCTTTCTCTCTTCCCATTCTCTTTCTGGAAGCCCTGCCTTTTGGCTTTTGGTGCTGAGACTTCTCTCACTCATTTATCTGCATTCACGTTCCTTTCTTTATTCCTTTTTTAAAATGTCTTTGTGGCATGTGTATGTTTTTCTCATGTGTGTGGGTACATAAGAGTGCAGGTACAGCAGGGCGGTGGTGGCGCACGCCTTTAGTCCCAGCACTCGGGAGGCAGAGCCAGGCGGATCTCTGTGAGTTCGAGGACAGCCTGGTCTAGAGAGCGAGTTCGAGGACAGCCAGGGCTACACAGAGAGACCGTGTCTGGAAGGTAACAACAAAGTGTGCAGGAGCACCTGCATCCATTTATGTGGCAGCACAAGCTTCATGCTAGCAGTCTTCCTCAATCACTCTCCACCTAATTCGTTGAGGAAGGCTCTCTCAGTTGAACCCAGAACTCACTGATTCAACTAGTCTAACAGCCAGCTTGTTCTGGGGACCCTGTCTCTGGGATTATAGGGAAGCCACCTGCAGGCCCTAGATGGGCTCCTCGGTGGGCCCCATACATCAGCCCATTTCAGCTCTCCCTGGGCAGCTGGGGTGTAGCTATCTTGGGGCGCCTGCCCACTCACGCCAGCTCATCTGCTGGCGAGCTTCCAGCCTATGGCTGTTCTCTGTGTCTGGTGGATTTAGGCCTTTAATAGAAATCTCTCAAGCGTAGGCTAGACATAGTGGCACTTGGCTTTGACTCCGGCACACAGGAGGTAGAGACAAGTGGATCTCTTGAGTTTGAGGCTAGCCTAGTCTACATAGTGAGTTCCAAGCCTGTCAGGGATACACAGTGAGGCCCTGTCTCAGAAAAGAAATGAAAAAAAAAAAAAAAACAAAACAAACCGTCAAGTGGTGTTAGCTGGTTCCATTAAGACCTGAGACCTGACTCGGTGTGAGACGAGTTATTTTACTCCAGGCCTCCACCTTCATGCTTCTTGGGGGGACATGCGGGGGCTTTCTGCCACTGAGACACCACAGTGGGGACCCCAGCATCCCTTCCGCTTTCCAGGGACAGCCGTGGCATCTGCTGGGCTGAGCCTGCGAGCATCAGGGCAGGGTACAGACATGGGGGGGTGGCTAGAACCCCAACTGTGATAACTGGGGAGCGCGTGATGGGGAAGATAGTCTTCCAAAGAACAGAGAGTACAAAGGCCCCGGGGCAGGAGGGAGTGAGCTCCCACCTAGGTGCAAGTTCTAGGGTGCTGTGGGGAGTGTCAGGTCTCAGTTTTTAAAATCGTGTGTGTGTGTGTGTGTGTGTGTGTGTGTGTGTGTGTGTGTGTATACATGTACGTGTACAGTGTATGTGAGTGCAGGCACACGTGTGCCACTTGGTGCACGTGGAGGTCAGAGGACACCCTTGGGTATTAGTCCTCATCTTGCACCTCATTTGAGACAGGGTCTCATTGCCCATCACTGCGCATGTGGGACTAGCTGGCCTGAGGACTTCCAGGGATTCTCCTGTCTTCTCCTCCCATTTCGCACTGGAATTGCAGGCACTGGGTTCTACTGTGTCTGGCTTTATGTGGGTTCTGGGCATTCACATTCAGTTCTAAATGCACCTTACCCGCTCAGCCATCGGCCTAGCCCTGCCTGTTTGTTGACACAAGGTCTCCCATTGGCCTGGATTTAACTGGTTAAACTAGGCTGGCTGGCCATCAAGCCCCAGGAGATCTCCTGCCTCCCCTGCCCCGGTGCTGGCATTACCGGCACATGTCCCCACGCCAGGCTTCGGGATGGATGTGCTGGAGCTGAAACTCAGATTCTCACGCTTGCCAAGCACCCATTTTACTGACCCCACCACCTCCCCAGCCCTGAACGCAGCTTGAACCAGGAAGGAGAAGGTGCCTGGGGCCTGGTGGGAGCGAAGGACAGGCTGAATTTGTGGTGTCCCGGTCACCTGTAGAGGGAGCAAGCTGCTTCCTGAGAGCTGAGGGTTTGGAAGGGCCGATGCTGGATCAAGTGTGAGCAGTGGCCGAGGAGGGTGAGGGTGATCAGCAACAGGAGGCTTTGGGTCTCTCCCTCAGCATGGGGTGGGCAGCACAGAACGGCAAGATAGGGGGGAAGAGATTAGTGTGGAGGAGAAGGTCAGTCAAGCTCTTTCGCAGGTCGGGGGGTGGGACCAAATGAGGAAGTGGGTAGGGCCAGTTGTGGGTGGGGACGTGTGGGTAGGGCTGTGAGAATTGGCTGTGAGTGTCTTGAGCTGCCGAGGAGAAGCCCAAAGGGCCGAGGAAGAGGTGTGGGGACACAGGCTGGGGTCAGGCTGTCTGGGAAGACAGAAATGGACAGGTTCTGAGTAAGGCAGGTGGGGTTGGGGGTCCCCGTGGTACGGCAGCAAGATAGGGACATGGTCACAGCTCCAGGCCACTGTGACCCCGGCAGGCCTGGGAGACCCCAGATGTGTGCAGGAATGCGGGAGGGGGCAGTAAGAGCTGGGTGCAGAGAGGGACCTGTGACGTGTAGAGCTCAGATGTCAACCCCACTCAGTCCCCTGCCTCAGCCTCTTCCCTGATCCTGGTCCACCAGACGGCCCCATCTTGGCGCAATGAGGGGTAGGCAATGGGGGTTCGTCCCATCCTTCAGTGAGGCTGCTCAGAGTACCAGCCCAGCTGAGGGGTCTGTGGAGGAGACAGAGGCTCGGGAGTCGCCACTCACCACAGCTTCGGCCCTCAGGAGATCGTGGACTGGTTCAACGCCCTGCGAGCAGCCCGCTTCCACTACCTGCAGGTGGCTTTTCCCGGAGCCAGCGATGCAGATGTGAGTGACTGCCCCAGAGCCACCTGCTGGGTGAGGGAGTGGGGAGGTAGCCATTGGGTTGGGTCA